GTCTGCTAACCAGGGATGGTAGACCTCAAACTCCTTCCTCCAATCACACCTTACCTGCCTGTAGCTACCGCCCAGTGTTTCCCTATCGGCGATTAACCTACTGATTAGGTTATAACCCTCACAATCTAATCGCTTCACCTCTGTCTGTTCCTGCATTGTCTCACACGTGACCTTTTGTGGGACACTTCATATCTAAGACACAACATCCACCTTCTTCAGGACTTGATTGGGACCCTCTGGGCCCCACTGCAGTGAGAGGGGACACACCTGATTTCAGGTCTGTGGTATGATGCTGCCCATGTAACCTTCACTAAGAATATTCTGTCCCTGGACTTGGGTTGTCTGGGTACCTATTGACATATAAATGTCGGTTTTAAGTAAGAAATTTTGAAAGCAACATTTTTTGCCTTTTTGTCTTCTTGCATTGGTTAAGAACTTAGTTAATCCATGTGAGTGGCTTTTAATAAAAGTGTGACAGTGTGATTGTTCCTCTGGGTGGGGGGGCATTTACTGAGGATCAAACCCAGGGGTGCTCTATCACTGAGCTACATCTTCAGTCCTCTTTATTTTGAGACAGGGTCTCACTTGGTTGCTCAGGCTGGCCTCAGCCTCCCCGGTCAGGATTATCGGGGCTCTTCATCTCAGAGGGAATGTTTCACCATTGCCAAGTCTGTGTGTTTGCTATGCTGTTGAGTTAGGAAGGCTCCTGCCCTTTCCTGGCTTTTATAAGAGCCCTAACACACACGACTGCCAAGTTTTATTGAGCTAGTTGCTTACATATGTAGGCATGATAATCATTTTTTATTTTATCAATATAATTATTCTCTGTTACTAAAAAAGATCCTTATTTTCCTGAGATAAAACCAACTTAAAGGGCCTTGGATTATGGCTCAGCAGTAGAGCACCCACCTAGCGGGTACGAGGCCCTGGGTTCGATCTTCAGAACCACATAAAAATAAATAAAATAAACATATTGTGTCCAACTACAACTGAAAAATACATATTAAAAAAAAACCCTTAATGATGAAGGGTAATCTTTTCTATAAATTAGTGAATGGGGTTGTGGTTCTTCAGGTTTTTGCATCTGTTCATGGAAGACTGTCTGTACCTTTGTTTCCTCTATTTCCCTTGTCTGATTCTGCATTAAGAATAGCCTCATGGGGGGTGGGTTGTGGCTCAGCGGTAGAGCGCTCACCTTGTAGGAGACACCACATACAAATAAATGAATAAAATAAAGGTATAAAAAAAGGAAGAAGAAAAAAAAGCTTAAAAAAAAAAAGGATAGCCTCAGGAAATAATTTGAGAAAGGTTCTGTCTTTGTGTCCCTGAGAGCTTTCAAGGGATTGGAATGCCCCTCAGGATGCTTGGCTGAGTGGCCTGAGGCCGTGCTTTCCTTGTGGGAAGAGGCTAACCAGGCTTAAATCTTATGTAAAAATTTCAGAGCACTCAGGATTTTGTTTTATCTTGGTTTAATTTCCATGGGTTAAATCATATAATTTTGTGAAAAAAACATACTTCAGGTTTCATTGGGCCTCAATCCTTCATAAACCCTCCCGACGTATCTGCCCTAGAGGAGTTCTTACCAACAGGCACAGGGAGCCGAGAACAGGGTGCTCAGGTGGCAGTGTTTGCAGAAGCCATGGGGAAGCTCAACTCCCTTCGGGAGCCCAGTGGGCAAGACAGCCTGTGCCTGTGACCAGAGTCAGCTCTGGGTGTGGGGTCTCTCCAGGGGCCTGGCGTTTAGGACACGTGAGTCCTAGAGCAGCAGTATGACCATACCGTGTGGTCCTAAGGTGCCCAGAGCTCCCGGACTCACACAATAACCAGGTGGGGCTGAGGAGGCCCTGGGGCTGGCCCATGAGGGGAGCAAGAGAGACCCAGCAGCTCGCTGGCTTGGCTTGCCATGGGATGCCCAGCGCAGGTGACCACCCAGCTCCAGCCTCAGAGGCCAAGCAGATGCCAGTGCCAGACTCTGATGCCCCAGCCCCAGGGCCCAGAGCTTGGTGAGCCTGTGTCCCTGCTCTGTCACCTGAGTGCAGTCCCCTGTTAGCCACAGAGAATGAGCAAGACGGGAACCCTACTTGTGCACACACATGACAATACTGTGTTGGTGCCACAAGGCAGACCCAAACCCAGCACACTGTCATGGAGGGATGGGTAGGGTATGCTTTGTAAAGGCACTGACAGAAATCTGTCCTACGGACAGAGTGCTCGCCTAGCATGTGAGGGGCACCGGGGTAGTGGCTCAGCGGCAGAGCGCTCCCCTAGCATGTGAGGGGCACCGGGGTAGTGGCTCAGCGGCAGAGCGCTCCCCTAGCATGTGAGGGGCACCGGGGTAGTGGCTCAGCGGTAGAGCGCTCGCCTCACACGTGCAGGGCCCTGGGTTCAATCCTTAGCACCACATAAAAATAAATAAAGTCAATAAATAAGTAAATAAGTACATAAATAAAAGTATTGTGTCCATCCACAATTAATTTTTTTTAAAAAAACTCTGTCCTAAGCTAGAAGGAGACCTCTGAGCCTTGACTTCACTTCACAAATGTTCTAAGTACTTTGATTTCAACATTTAACCAAGTGAAGCTTTAGGCACAGATGTGAGCCACAGAGGTGGGAGCAGAACCTGCTTCTAAGCGCGCGTTCGTGACCAGGTGCTCTCAGCTGCAGGACACACCACCTGGCCAGCTCTCTGAAGCATGGGGAGAGCCGTGTCTCTGAAGATGAATCACCACATTGACCAGGTGTGCCCTGGGCTGGGCTCCACAGAGACCTCAGACCTGGCCAGCAGTGGGAGACCCTTACTGAGCTGGGCTCTGATGGCCATGGATTGCAGGACCAAGTGGTGGTGAGGGAGCACCAGAGGTAGATGCCCTGGCCATAATAATGGCCTGCTCAGAGGGGCAGCCAGGGGAATTTCCCACAGATAGCCATGGAACATGGTGTCCAGAGCAGATGGGCAACAAGGATGGGTCAGTTGGGGTCATTAGAGGAAGTCAAGGGCAGATTGTCAGTGGGCTTAGGAAAGTGGCCCCAAAAGGTTCATAGTCCTTTACCCAGATAGACCTGAGGCTGTCAGTGACCAAAGCCTGGTCCTCCCAGGGAAGTAAGAGTGCATGTCCCCTCCGTGTCCACAGATCACTGGGCACTGGGAGAGGTGGCACCAAGTCTTGAGACTGACGCTGACATTCTGGTCTCCATGAGTGTGTGAAGCACCATCTGGGTTCCAGGGACTGTGGAGACCAGGATCACTGTAGAGTCCTCCGACACTCCCCTGTGCCCACCAGACTGTAAGTCTGGCACAGCATCACACCCAAGGAGGAGTGTGATGAAGCTCCTCAGCTCACCTCTGCCCCTGCAAAGGAACCCGAGGAACACCCACACCGCCAGCCCTGATGTGGGCTGACTACTGGACCTCACACTGACTACTGGCCACTGGTCCAGCCCATCAGGATAGGGGCTTGATCAACCCTGTCGGGCGTATACGTCCTGATGTCATCCCACCATGCAGCAGAGGCCGCTGTGGCTCTAGTCTTGAGTGGACCCCAGGGAGGAACTGTTGGGGGTGGTGGAGTCGTCTTTCTGAGGGGTTACTGCAGATTGAGCCCAGGGTGCTCTACCACTAAGCTGCATCCCTAACCCCTTTAATCTTTTATTTTTGCAACTGGGTCTCACTAAGTTGCAGAGGCTAGCCTCAAACTTGTGATCCTCCTGACTCAGCCTCCCAAATCACTGGGATCACAGGTGTGCACTCAGCAGAGGCAGAATCCTCAAAAGGTGGGGGGCAAGACACTGGGAGGTCCTTAGGTCATTGGCACGTGCTTTTGCAAGGGACTGGGACCCCAGCCCCTACCTCTTCCTCTGTCTGACTTGGGATGAGGTGAGCTGTTTGCTCTACCATGTGCGTCTGCCATGATGTGCTGGCCTGCCCAGGCCAGAGCAAGAGGCCGACCCACTAGGAGCCACCATAAACCTTCCTCTGCCAGGGGACTCAGGCGTCCCACCCACCCTCTCAGAACTCCCAGGCCCTGCTCCCCTCCCACCCCCTTCTCCTTGGTCAGGTGACTGACCCCTGTGTCCTGTCACTGTGGGTCAGGTGAGTGGAGCCATGAGGCACGCACTCTTGCCACAGCGTCGGGCCCGTGGTGTCCTGTGGCTGCTCCTCGATGGTGCCTGCATGTCTCTGGGTGCTCTTCCCCGTGTGGGTGCTGCGTGCTTCGGAGCACAGCCCTGCACGGGTGCTGAGCTCCACACAGGTGGAGTCACACCACCCCCCGGGCCGGGGTCTGCGCTCCTCACCCGACCCCACTCTGCCTCTGCTTCGACCTGAGGTCCTGGCTCTTGGGTAAATTCTGACCTCACATCCAGTGGCCAGGCTTCATCTCCCTTGACGCACAAGGATGGCAGCTTGGCTTGTCGCCCCCTGAAGGCTGCTCCACGTGGGTTCCGTGTGGGTCAGATGCACAGTTTCATAGTTGAGAGAGCGTTCGTTTCCTCTCCTGTAGTTTTGTTTGGGTTGGTAATGTGTAGACCAGAACCCTCTGCGGGTCCAGCCTCCCTCTACCCAGGCGGGCAAGGCCTCTGAGACAGCTGTTTTGAGATCTGAGTCAAAGAACGTCTAGGAAAGCCCTTCAGATGGGGCCTGCACACCTGCCTGCCCTTGGGTGTCCCTCTGCTGGGCAGGGGCCAGCAGCACTGGCCGCAGGGAGCCATGCTGGAGGCCGCAGACCTCCGCCCACCTCGGCCTGGCACTGTGCTTACCTCAGACACTTGTGCTGTCGTCTGGTTTCTGCAGCGAGCACGGAGGGATTTCTGAGAGTTACAGACTCAATCAGCCCTTGACCTCCCGAGAATCACCCTTCGTTCCTGGGAACAGTCCCCTCCGTTTCAGTGCTTTTTGTATAAAGCAACTTTTATTTTTAAACTTATAGGGAAGTGCAGAGAAGGGTGCAGCAGCCCCAGTCTCCCCTTCTCTAATAGACAAGGGTGTTTTAGAAAACAGGACAGCGAGGGGTCGAGGGAGGAAGGAGGGCCAGCCGCTTCCCAAACCTGTCCAGGAGACTGCCCCAGGGCACCCGCTCCTGGGTGTGTGCACAGAGCACCGGTCCTTAACCAGCCTCGATGACAGAAGCCAGGACAGAGAGTGAGTGGACCAGGGCAGAGGCGGAAAGGAGGTGCCAGGGGAGACAGAGCGGCTTCTGCCAGGTGTCCCACAGGTTGGCATAAGGACCCACTGGTATGTGTAATGATGATGCGTGAGTGGAAACAAATTCTTAAAAATATAAAGTAAAATAATTATATCAAATTTAATTCTGTTAGTTGATATGTTTATTTTCAAACTTGTGTTAGAGGATACGTTTCTTAATATCTAACAACACCAGTCTGTTGAAATGTCCCTGTCTCAAAATGCATCTCTGTGATTGGCTTGCTTCATCTGGATTCCTGTGTCCTGACACCCTCTTGATAGGTAGCACTTCTCCCCTCCTGCATGAATGGCCGAAGCCCCTGGTTTCCTCTTGTAGCATTTTGCTCCTTCTACGTTTGGCTTATTCCCATGTGGGCCTGTGAGTGACGTCCTGTAGACTGACAGAGCCCTGGGCAGGTTAGGGTTCAGGTCGCCCCGCACACCCGCCAGGGGCTGCTGCTGCTTGCTGTGTTACAGGCCCCAGCCTGCTGCCCCTGCCTGCCCTCTTGGGGCCCCCACTGCCTCTGCCTGTCCTGGCGATTCACAGTTCCCAGAAGGCTGAGTCGGTGCCCAGCACCCTGTAAATGGCAGAATGCTTTTTTGGCATCATTGTGAACAACGCCATGGGCGTGTCTGATGGACCTTGGTCAAGGGGAGTGAAAACTCAAGCTTCTCCATCTTCAGGCTCGGGCGCCTCTGCAAGTTTGCACCGTGGCCTTTTACGACCCCAGTCTCCTGAGAATGTCTCTGTGACCCTGGAGTCTGTCTTGTGTGGACTGGAACTGGCCTGGTTCCTGGTGAAGCTCATCTTACACCCAGGCCCTGTGAGCAGCCTCGGTCTGCAGCAGGCACAGCCAGCCCCGCTCCGCCCTTTCAGAGGGCTCTAGGCCTCCTCTGCCCAGTAGCTGTGTAGCACACACTGACCGCTGATCACTGACAGACCCCCTGGGCGCCAGAATGGCCTGAGGAGGGTGTCCGTGTTTTAAAGTGAAAACAGAATAGCGTGACATTCAAACAGGGGACCTGGAATGTCCTCTATTCCATCCCAAAGTTCCCTGATTCTCCCAACCAGTCGTGAGTTCCGGGGCTCTGTGGCAGATGCAGAGCCATGCTGGCTTGGCCCTGCAGTGCCTGTCATCTGAGCCACAGGGCCTGCTACCGTGTGGTCCAGGCTCTGTTCCACAGGGGCAGAGAGACGCTGGTCTCTCCACTGGACTCAATTTTGCGTTGCTGGGTCCTTCCTGGCCCTTGTGCTGAAGGCGGCTTGTGCACCAGCCTCTCCCACTGCAGGAAGGAAGCACAAGGAAGCCCCCCTTTAGTGTGTGGAAAGTCTTGCTCTGAAATCCATGCCACAGCACTAGCAGTAACTAACTGAAAGTGGCCAAAGAGAGAGGAGCTGGTACCCCGGACACCAATCAGGTGCACGTGGCTGAGCAGAGCCTGGGCAGCAAGCCGGTGGCCCAGGTCTGGAGGAAAGCCTGGTGCTTGGCAGGCCAGATTCTCCCTCTAGCCCAGTGTGCCCTGGGCTCTAGGAGGCAGCATGCTGGCCTGGTAGTCGGCTGGTGGTGAGGGTTGCCTAGGAGGCGGGTGGCTCCCAGACCCTGGCGAGGTTCTCTGTAGCTTAGTCAGACTGAGGGCTGATCACTTGCTCATTCAGAATGTGAATACCTTTTTGCAGCAGATTCCTGACCAATCTGCGGGAGAGTGTGGCCTGGGGCCAAGGAGAGTGTAGGCAGGTCACACTACCATGTTGCTTTGGGGCTTCTCTCACTTGACATTTCCCTCTTGGAAGACGGGAGAAACCCAGCAGACGTGAGCAAGCAAAACCTCTTGGTGAGGCCCCTGCGCTGGTGGAGCTGGGCCTGCCAGAGGGCGTCAGCAGTAGCTTTTGCAGTTGTCCTTGTGGTCTACGAGGTGGAGTCTCCTCGTGTTGCTTCAGCTGGCCCGGAACTCTTGGGCTCAGTTCCTCTGGGCTCAGCCTCCGGAGTGGAAGGATTTCAGGCCCCCGCCATGCCAGGCGTGCCAGGCTGGAGGTGTCTAGCAGAGTCAAGGAAGGGCGAATTTGGGGAGGGCAGACACTTGGTGTGACACTGCTGGAGTGAGACCGGGTGTTTGGACAGATTCCACACGTGCTGCTGAGGACCCTGGAAGACGACGGTGTAAGTCTCCCAGCCTGGGCTCCTCCTCTGTGGGGGGCACAGAGCCACTGCCTAGCCACTGTTGTTGAAACTGGCCACTCACACAGTGCTCAAAGCTTGGGAGTGATTCTCACCACCACTCACTGAGGCCCATCCTCTCGCACAGTCTCCAGCCTTCTCAGCACAGGTGACAGAAAGGCATCTGGCACCAAGGACCTTATGGAGGCCCAGGAACCCAGAATCAAGGAAGAGATGGAAACCTGGGAATGTGACGGGCCTCCAGCACAAGGGCCACCTCTGCAGTGCTGCTGTTGCAGGAGCAGCACCTGCCATGACCTGCCTGCACCATCAACTCACATTCCAGGGAGAGGGTCCTCTGGTCTTGCTAAAGCACGAGCCCTGCCTTGAACAGGGAGACATCTTGATGGACAAGTCCACACAGGAAAACTGGAGTGCTCTTGGCACTGAGTAGGAAAGCCATGTAGACAATACCATTTCTACCATCGACACCCCACCTCTACCACCAACACCTGCACCACCCCACCAACATTCCACCTCCACCACCACCACCTGCACCACCACCTCCACCACCATTCCACCTCCATGACCAACACCTGCACTACCAATGCCACCACCATTCCACCTCCATGACCAACACCTGCACCACCACCACCAACATTTCATCTTCATCACCAATACCTGCACCACCTCCACCACCACCACTACCACCTGCACTACCACCACCAACATTCCACCTCCACCACCAACACCACCACCACCACCTGCACCACCACCTCCACCACCATTCCACCTCCATGACCAACACCTGCACCACGAATGCCACCAAAATTCCACCTCCATGACTGCTGAGAACCATATGTTGAATTGGACAACCTAACAGGCACGGTCCCTAAGCCACATTGCTTGTTGTTTAATTAATCAGAAGGGGGGAGATGCTGAGAGCCATAGCCAAGTAGGAATGACGCATGGCAATTTCCTTGTCAGCCTACCCCATGTTGCTTAGAGGGAGGACTCTCCATTGTGGAGATGGGCTAGCCTTGGACCCAGGTCATTTGCAGTGACATTGCATGAATGTTTGAGAAAGGTGACCCTGCTCAAGGACCAGGGCGGATCCGGGTTTAGGGAGGATCCTGCTGGATTAGGGTGGGTCCAGGTTTAGGGTGGATCCTGCTGGGAATAGGGCGTATCCTGCTGCCTCAAGCGCCCGCCCGCTCCTTGAGTTCCCGTTGAGTTCTCGTGGGATTCAGAGAGTATTTGGGATGCAGAGCCCAGTGGAGTGTGTGGATTTCCCCAGAACGTGCGTGTAGAGTGCCAGTGACAGTTCGGGAATAAAGAATTGCTGTTTGAATCTACAAGGCTGTGAGTGGCTCGCGATTTTGTGCCCAGCCAGACTGCGGCACATGACCAACACCTGCACCACCACCACCACCAACATTTCATCTTCATCACCAATACCTGCACCACCTCCACCACCACCACCACCACCTGCACTACCACCACCAACATTCCACCTCCACCACCAACACCTGCACCACCCCCACAAACATTCCACCTCCACCACCTGCACCTGCACCAGCACCACCAACAACAACATTCCACCTCCATGACCAACACCTGAACCACCAATGCCACCACCGTTCCACCTCCATGACCAACACCTGCACCACCACCACCACCATTCCACCTCCATGACCAACACCTGAACCACCAATGCCACCACCATTCCACCTCCATGACCAACACCTGCACCACCACCACCAACATTCCATCTTTATCACCAATACCTGCACCACCACCACCACCACCTTCACCACCACCACCAACATTCCACCCCTACCAACGTTCCATCTCCACCACCCTGCCAACATTCCACCTCCACCACCTGCACCTGTACCAGCACCACCAACATTCCACTTCCATGACCAACACCTGCACCACCAATGCCACCACCATTCCACCTCCATGACCAACACCTGCACCACCAATGCCACCACCATTCCACCTCCATGACCAACACCTGCACCACCAATACCACCAACATTCCATCTGCACCAACACTTGCACCACCAATGCCACCAACATTCCACCTGTACCACCCCCACAAATATTCCTCCTCCACCCACAAACACCTGTACCACCACCACCAACAACAACATTCCACCTTCATCACCAATATACCTGTACCACCACCTGCACTACCACCACCAACATTCCACCTCCTTCACCAACACCTCCACCACCAATAGCTGCACCACCACCACCATTCCATCTCCATCACCAACACCTGCACCACCACTAATGTTTCACCTCCACCACCACCACCAATACCAATAGCACTACGAACACCTCCACCAACACCTATTCTACCAATAACACCAACACTTACACCTTCACTACTGCCATCACCAACAACACTTGTACCCCTACTACCACCTCTACCAAACCATTTCTACCTCATCCTCCCTCCACCATCACTACCCCTAGGCCACTTCCACCTCCACCACAGTCTCTACCTCCACCACCATTTCCATCATGTCCGTTACTGCCACCACTACCATCACCGCTACCACTCAAGATGGACAATCCAGATTCCTGACTCTGCTTCTTACTGTCTGCTGACTGGCAAAAGGCTACTGACTCGGAGTTCTGAGTGGCACATAGCAAGCCCAACTGTCAGAGCTTTGGGATCTAGGAGCAACATTGGGGGGTGCACCCTCCTCCTCCCCACCTTGGGATCCCTCTCTGGAGGCAGTGCTACTCTGAGCAGGTCATCTACACAGTAGGGAGGGGAGGCAAAGTCTACCACGGGACAGGCCCTCAGGGTGGCGGGGCCTTCCTGGCAGCTCCTGAGCCCAGCAGCAGTTCTCTGGCAGGGGCGGAATGGCTGGCTCCTGCCCCTCTAGAGGCTGATGCCCACTCCCCACCAGTGACTCATGGTTTTAACTGTTTAAATCTTAGTCCAAACTTCATCACACTGGACCAGAACTATTTTGTCCTTTAGTGAGGGCCAAAATATCCATCTGAAATGAGTAACAGCACATTCATTAGCACATGTCCATCTTTGCTTACAAACAGCATGTGGACACTCCTTGTCCAGAGCTGCCCTGCTGGTCAAGCTGTTGCCATGAGCATTTCCAGCTGAGGACACGGCCCTGGTCTTCCACCTGGAGAAGTAGCCCTTCAGAGGAGCTGTCTGATGAGGCAGGACCCGACGTGTGGCTGGGATTCAGGTGGTGTGGACTGAGTCCCCTCTGCACCAGGGCTTGCACTCCGTCTCCTCAGTCCTCTGCAGGGGCACTATTTTTGTATTTTGTTAGATGGAGAGGCAGAGGCTCTGAGCCCCATCTTGAATACCTCCTGGTCTTCAGGAAACATCCTAGTTGTTCTGGTAGACTCTGATGTAACCCAGGGCACTACTGAGTGCAGGGAAACCATCAGACAGGCCAAGAGTTCAGCAGGACAAAGACACGACCCCAGCATGGGACTCCTCAGCCGGGGACCAAGATGGGGGTGTGTTGGAGAGCTGGCGTGCTGTGGGACACAACCTGGGTGTCTGCACGGGTGCCAAGAAGGGTTAGATCATCTTAGAAGCAGGAGGCACAAAGCACAAGCATGCACGCAAGCGGCCTCCTCGTCTCCAAGGCTCCAGGAACAAGGACGGGTTCGATGCTGCACACATCAGAGACAGACACCTGCAAATACACCCGTGAACAGCAGCCACGCACGTTCATACCCCTGTGTGGATGCACACCTGAGCAGGGCCGGGTGCCGTGAAGAGGCAGGGTGGGCAGTACCGGTGACCTTCTTCTCACTTCTGTTTCCTCCTGTGCTTTTGACACGGATCATTTCTGTGATCCCTCCTGTGCCTCTGGCTTTTCCCTTTCCTGTTTCTTGGGGGGTTTTCCCTCCAATACTTCCTTGAATAGTTGGAGTGCTGAAATTCAGGGCCCCTCACATGAGACAGGACCGTGTGCAGGAAACTCCTAAGCAGTCAAACGATGACCGGGCAAACGGTAGGAGCCCTGGACCTTCTAAATCAGAGACAGGGCTGGGGCTCAGGCACCAGAGGCCCCATGGCCCCATGAACAGTCCTCCAGGATGCAGGCTGGAGTGTCCCCTGTAAATGCCAACAGAGGAGACCTGCAGCCCATGTGGCTGCTCATTCCCACGGGTGCTGAGAGGCGTTGGTCCTGTGGAAGCTGTGCTTCTGTGGAGGGTTTGGCCCCTTCCTCTGCCCCAGAGGCAGCTGATGGAGGGTTCTTCAGCCATAAAGCAAATGCATCTGTCCTATCCACAGGCTTCTCTGCATCATGCCGTGCAGCACCTCATCTTCTGCTACCACCTGCTGATCTCTTTTCCTATTGTGCCTGCCACCAACTTTATGAGATGGCTCTCAGGACCTCAGGGACCTGTCTGCCCACCTCAGGCATCTGATGGGGCTCTCTACCCAGCCTCCCTGGCACTGTCCCCATGGGCCTCTTGCAGCCCTGAGCCCATTTTTGGGGTGAGGCCTCTGCCCACAGGGGCTGTGTACTCTAGCCCAGCTGAGGTGAGATCATCCAGCCTTTGTCAGACAGAGTCTGCGGCCGAGTCACCTCACTGATGGTCTTCTCAAGGGGTCTCACTTGCTATGGGGTGACAGAACTGTGCTGACGCAGCCCATCCACTGAAGACAGTGTGGGGGGAAGCCTCTAGCCCAAGTCACGCTGACCGAGCCTCCCAGGCAGTGAGGTCTGTGCACCAGGGTGATCACCAATGCAGCCACAGGGCAGGACACAGCACTGTGCCTGGGGCAGGGGCTTGCTCTGGGGAGGTAGCCCTGAGGCCTGGGTGTGAAGGTGGCCCCCCACACTGGGCACAGGGTCTGAGGGAGACAGAGGAGGAGGAACCAAAGACTTGGAGCAGGGCAATGAGGGCTGTTTGAGAAGGGAGGGTGTGGCCATCAAGGAGGTGACCTCAGGGTCAGCAGGCCCCTCCGGATCTAGGCTGTCCCTGGGAAGGGCTGAGATGTAACTCCCTGCTGTCCCTCAACGCCCACCAGAGCCTACAGGGAGGAGAATCTGGCAGTATTCAGCAGGCAGACGGGGGAGTTGAGGGTGCCCCTCAGGGACTGGGTGGGGAAGGGGATGGCCCTGGGGTAGAATGTGAGGTAGGTGCCCCCCATCCTGCCCACGTGTGCACACGCATGGTTCCTCATCCTAACACTCCCCCGGCCCTCTTATGATGCCCCAAGCGCCACCCCCTGAGACCCACCTGTCTTGGGTCTTCTCCCGAGAAGGAGGTGCACAAGGTCCCAGTGGTGGGCAGGGCTGTGGAGGACAGGGGGGCTCAGGGCATTCACCTGGCCACCCTGGGCACGCTCTAGAGGATCCCGTCCTGGAGCCCCACCTGCATCCCAGAACGTTCACGCGGTTGTCCTCTGTGTGAGTGCCGTTCCGTGGTCACTGTCCGCCTTCAGGTGAGGTTCTCATTGGGTCTGAGCTTGCAGGCCCTGGATGCAGCCACAGTTAACTTCGCCAGTAAAACTGAAGCCAAACTAAATTAAAAGTAGGAAATCAGTTTCTCAGCCCCACCCTCTGCGCCACCGCATCTGTGAACTGGGTATAGTGACCCCCACACCACAGGCCGCGAGGGGCGGGGATCGCCGCAGGTGGGAACAGAGGCCACCGGGCAGGGTGCGGGTAGAAGTCGGGTTGGGGTAAGATGAGGGCGCACCGGGCCGGTGCGGAGCGAGCACAGGTGAGTCGAGGACCAGGAGGCGAGTGAGAGTCCGCAGGGACTGGCCGGGTAGGCCGAGCCAGCCGGGGTTGCGGGGCAAGGGCCTGGCAGAGGGTGCGGGCCCCGACGCTGCAGGCGGGGAGGAGGCGACGGCCTGGTCCAGCACACGGGGGCCCCAGGCGCCGGGGCGGGGGACGGCAAGAGCGCCCGGCGGGGCCGCAGACCGTCAGGCCGGCGCCCGCCGAGCTCGGGGGTCGGGGGCGTGTCCTGGCCGGCGTGGGCGGGGCCGGTGGGCGGGGCCGGGGCGGGGCCGGCGGCGCTGTCCGGTGCTGAAGCGCGCGCGGCCCGCGCCGCCGCAGGAGCGCGGAGAGAGGAGCGGGCGCCGCCTGGCTCGGTCCCGCCCGGTCTCGCTTCCGCGCTGCCATGGACTAAGCGCCGGACGGACTGCGGGGATGGGGCCGCCGCTCCCGCTGCTGCTGCTGCTGCTGCTGCTGCTGCCGCGCACCCTGCCCGCCGCCCCCGCGCCCGCCCCCCGCGGCCGGCAGCTCCCCGCGCGCCTCGGTGAGTGGGGGAGGGGTGGTGGGCCGGGGCGCCTCGGTGGGGGCGGGGCGGAGCCCACGGCGAGCGGGCGAGGGCGCGACGAGGTGCGGGGGTCGCCGGCCGCCTGCGCGCGGCCCCCGGGCCCAGGGCCGCGAGCGCGGTGGCTGGCCGTGCGCCCCCCTGTCCTCACCCGCGATGCGGGTCTCGCGCCCCCGCCTCCGTTTCCTGCTCCGGCGGCCTCGGGACCTCCTCCCCGCGCCCCGCCACGCGGTCCGCCCCGCGAGGCCTGTGAGGACGCCCGCTGGCCCGCGCGCTCGGCCGCGGGCGTGGGCACCCCCGCCGTCCGCACCTCCGCCGCCCGCGCCGCGCGTGCTGCCAGCCGGGCCCGGTGCCGCGTGGACGCGGGCCTGCGCGGCGGGCCTTCGCGGTGCCCCTGGCCTCTCCAGCCTCCGCCGCTGTTCTGCCTTCCAACGCGAATCTTCCGTCAGCGCGGCTGAGATCCCAGGGACATTTTCCTTCGGGGAAGGCGACAGGGGGCGAGGGCGGACCCAAGTCCTTTCCTACAGGGCACCTCCCTCCCCCGGGTGATCTTGTTAAGGAGATTTAGGGGTAAAGCCAATGTTTGCAGGCGGCCTTGAGGCCAGAATTACTACACTAATGGATGGCGACGGTCGCGTCCGTGTTGGAGGAGAGTGCGCAGTCCCAAGTCCGGCGGGAGCGGGGTCGGAGCCCAGCCCCGCCCCGCCGGAGCTCCCTGGGGACCCCGCACCTTCTTCCCACTCTGGGCCCACCTGCTCTCCAGGACTGCTCCCGCCATCCAAACCCAGGCCCACAAAAACCGCAGCCTGAAGTGGCAGGGGTCTCCCAGGGCACGGGCTGGCCACCAGCCGCAGCTCCCTTGTCCCCCGGCCTTTTCTGGTCTCACCTCATGACCAGTTGGCCTCCTTCACAGTTAGAAGGGAGGAGACTGGAGGCTCCTGTTCACCACTGCAGAGTCCTGAGGGCTAGTAGGTCCCAGTCCCTCACATTCAGTCTCTGTCCCAGGCCTTCTCGCTGCGGTTGCCTCTTACTGGACTGGGTTGATTGCTGTCTCTCTTCCTGCTTGCCCAGCTGCCAGTCTCCACATGCTGGTGGCTGTCCGTGGCAGGTCAGGGAGATCCAGGACCAGCTGACCCGGCCCATCCCAGGAGTCCCAGGAAGGCTGCCCTCACAGGATGAGCCAGGGCTGTCCTGCACACACCTCTTTTCCCTTGTAATTGTCAGACCATAATATCCAACCACAACCAAGAAGGGGGAGTGGCTGAGGGGAGCAGAGAGCCAGAGACCAAGCTCATGAGGAGGGAAAGTGGCCAGCTGTGCTGGACGGCTGCCCAGGGCCGCAGTGTGTTCCTGGGCAAGCACAGTGGGATCGGCAGGACTAGAGCCCACCTGGAAATACTGGGTGCTGTGGGGACATGTTCCCTTTCCTCCAGCTTGGAGTGGTGTCACTGATGTTGGGACACTTCAGTCTTTTTGTGGGACAATACGAAGGGCCCGGACTTCCTCAGGATTGTTCCAAGCTCTCCAGGGCTCAGATGCAGCCACCATATTCCCCAGAATTGGAAACAGCTCTGGCAGTATGCTTCTGCCTCCCTCCCCCAGGGCTGAACCTCAGCACCTGCTCGGGTGCTGCAGGATTCTTGGGATGCCTCTCAGGACATGGCGGAGCACATCCACCCGCAAAAGGCAGCCACTGCTGTGTGTTTTTCTCTGCTGTCCGGACCTTGGTTGGTAATGGTCAGGCCAACCTCATGTACCAAATAATGACATGATTGAAGATTACATGGCAGCCTTAAATCTGGCCAGCCATGTCCCTGTGGTCTCTTTAGCTGTGAAGACCTGGCCTCAGGTTGAAGATCCAGGACAGGTGGCTGGAGAGCCCGCCTTTGCTCTGTCGCATCCGACAGCCCTGTAGGGGAGAACTGAGGCAGAGCCACCAAGACTGGGACCCATTGCTCCTGTGTGGAAGCCCTGGCCTGAGCGAGGGGCTCTTCTTGGCACAGTGGAGGAGCTCCTGAGAGACCAGGGCCAGTAGAGCCCCATCTGAGTTTATCCTCAGTGCATTGAGCCACCCTACAGAGTGCTGGCTTCAGAAAGGCTGTCAGCAGCACCCTGGGGTACTGTTCCCCACCCACCCCACCTTCTGTCCTCAGAGGACCCTCTTCCCCTAATGGCTTCACCTTCCTGGCCTACGCCTGCTGCTTTGCAGCCTCTCTGATGGTTAAGGTCTGTGAGACTGAACTGGTGAGTCAGGGCTGGACAGCGGAGGCTGTGGCATGACCCCCCCTTTAAACTTTATTTATTTATTTTTATGTAGTGCTGAGGATCAAACCCAGTGGCCTTGCACATGTTAGGCAAATGCTCTACTGCTGAGCAACAACCCCAGCCCCTGGTCACCCCTTTTTAATGACATGGTGCAGCTTGCCAAGGCCACACTGCTGTGCCAGGCAGGACTGTCCAGGGCAGCTGAGTGACTTCCTCTCTTTGTGCACTCACATCTTGGGGTTTCCTCTGCTCCCCTGACACCCCCACCGCCACCTTTCTCTGGGACTTCAGGACCTCCTTTTGTCCAGATTCTCCCTGGATATAAAGGGCCATCCTGCATTTCATGGAGCTGGTCTGTGATCCTCATCAGGTGGCCTCCCATTTGAAGGGACAGGCATGTGAAGACCCTACCCCTTTCCCTAGAGAAACACAGATCCCTTTTGCAGAGACAGAGCCGCCTTCATGGAGATGTTCCTGGAGAGTCAGCTTTCAGCCTCCCGAGGCACCTCGCTGGGAGGACAGAGCCTGTTCCTGTGGCCCTTTGTTTTGGCCTCCCTGATGTCCACACGTGCTTTTCATTCACCAGTGAGCCCACGCAGAGCTCCAGAGCAGAGCAGGCCAGAGCGGAGCTGCTGGCTTTGTGTGATTGTTTATTTTTAGACCACAGGTTCCTTCCTCCCACGGCAGTGTCTCTGCTTGCTGGGGTCCAGAGCTCTGGGTTGTGTGCTGGCGGGGCCATGAGCAGCCTGCCCTTCCCCCAGGCCTGCAGCCCTGCTCCGTTTGTGAGCGGCTCTCTGCCTGTTGTCCTGGGCTCCATTGGCCCTGGGCCTGGTGCTTCTGGGCAGGACTGGGGTGTGTGGAGAAGAGTTCAGCCTGGAAGCCAGATGCCCTGAGTGGGGCCGTGGGATGGCTGTTTCCTGTGTCCAGAGATGGCAGGGAAGTGTGTCAGCCTGGGAAGGGACGGGAGGAGTGAGAAGAGGCTGTGAGTGGCTTCCTTGTGTGCTGAGCCTCACTGTGCGCTCTGTCGGCCGGTCCTCTTCCACAGGGAGCCGTTTCCAACCTGCTTGTCCAAGTCATCATTCCATGGTGCCCTGGGGAGGTGGGTGCTACCACTGCACCAGGCTCTTCCGGTTTCCCTCCATGTGGCCCTGGGCCCCCTGCCAGCACACCTGTGGTCACGCGTGTGCAGGATTTCTGTGTCCCCTGCTCCACGTGAAGAACAGGGGAAGTGGATGGAGGGCAGGCGTCCAGTGCTGTCCAGGGCCAGCGTCTTGATCAGCACGACTGTGATGGTGGATTGTTTTGTGTGATGATGGCTCTGCTCTCTGGGCCATTCTGTTCTGTTTTCATGTGGTATTGTCACCTAATTGGTGAATGCCGTCATTCATCCACTTTTCTCTGCAGTTTTGAAGGAAAGGAATGTGGAGCGACCAGGAGGCTGGGGCGGGAGTGTGGTGATGCAGGGTCTTGTTACGAGGGTCTGCTACCACTGCCTGGTGGAGCATCTGCTTGGAATTTCAAATTCCTTAAGAAAAGGTGCTTGTAACTAAGCGTGGCCCAAACTAAAAATAACTCCCTGACTTTGGGTGGGAACTTGAGACCTGCCTGTGTATGAGCAGACAGCACTGGTTTGAGGGGCCTTTGTGTGTGGAGGGGCAGAGAAGAGCTTTAAGAAGTGAGCAGAGAGGGTGTCCTGGGATGCAGCAGGAGGTGCAGGCCAGTGTGCCTCAGCTGACCGGGCCTCTCTTATCTTCTCTGACGAGACGTTCTGTTTCCCAGAGAAAGCAAACAGCGGAACTGGTGGCACAAGGCCCTCCGCTCCACATGAGAGCGCCTGGCAGCTGTTCCCATGTTCGTCTGAAGTGACCTTCATAAATGTAGACCTAGCTGGACTATTTTTCCTAATCTTGGTTGACAGAAGGCCAGAAAACTCGAGAAACAGAAAATAGCCCAGTTTCCTGCTGCCTGGAAACAGTGTGGGCACAGTTTGCTCAAGGAAGGGCACTTTTTCTCTTCTGACCACTCTGCCAAGGCAGCTTGAGACGTCTGGGCTGGGCGGGAAGTGAACAGGGCGAGGCCCCTAAGCTCCCTCCGCCGCCTTGATAAGTGGTGACTCACGGGCCTCAGAGCTGGACTTTGAGGTTGGGCTCTGTTTGTCTTTGCTACCTAATGCGAGGAAGCATGGGCGATGCCCCGCCACTGGTGGTGGTTGCTTGGTGCCAACTCATCTAGAGAGGTGGCTCGGAGGGTTTCACCAGCTGTTTCTCTCTGACCCCCCAGAAATGCCGTCTGTGTTCAGGAAACACAGGGCACACCTCCTCTGGGGGAGCTGTGTTCCTGTCAGGGCCACTCAGGCCAGTGGCCAGGGGATGAGCTTGCAGCTGCCAGGCAGACTGTGGCGCCCCCTGGAGGGACAGATCAGCCGGGTGCCTGCTCCCCGTTTCAGGGAGGAAGCCTGAGGTGCAGGTGGTTCCGGGACATGCTGCCACCTTCAGGATCTCCTGTCTTCCCCAGTGGATGACCCAGGGTGGGGCAAGGGTGGCTCCTGTAGGGTGCAGGTCCCCAGAAGGGCTGTGTGTGCCGGCAGCACCTGCTGCAGCTCCCCAGGGTGTGCCTCACAGGGCTGAGGGGCAGTTTCTCTCCACTGTCTCCCTGAGGAGTCAGAACCTGCAGGCACCTCTGCTGTGGCCTGCCTCTGGCTGAGGCAGGAGGAGCACAAGTTCAAGGCCAGCCCAACACTAAGAGAGACCGCAGCAGCTTAGCAAGACCCCCCGAATCAAATGTCAATCAAACTTTAAAATGCCCTTTGGCCCTGGGGCTGGGCTGTGAGTCTCTGAGGTCTTACCTGGTGCCTGCTGGGGAGTGTGGTAGTGGGCGGATTGTTTCTGAAAGGTCTCGCCCTCCCTGCTGCAGGAATGGATTCCTCCTCTGTGTGCTGGTGGGAACCCCTGGAAATGCTGTCGGGCTCCCCCTGACTCTTCTGTGAGAGTGGGTCTCACTATGGTGCCCAGGCCCATCCGGAACTCCTGGGCCCAGAGAGATCCTCCCGAATCAGTCTCTGGAGACCCTGGGACCACAGGCGCATGCCACTGCTCGCGACTCCACCACCTTTTAAAAATGTGCCGACACAAACTCCAAAGAAGTGAATTCTCGTTTCAGACTTCAAAGTGAGGAGTGAAAGAAACTTAAGAGGGGCTGGTGGAGCTGAGGCCCAGAGGCCGGAGGCCCAGAGGGGCTGGCTTCAGGACTCCTCATCCTCCTTCAAGTGTGCAGGAGGGGAAGAGGGGCTCTCCATCCTGTCCCAGGCAGCCTGCCCCCCCGGGCTGGCCTGTTTCAAGTGCAGTGTCCTAGACACTGCCTGGCTTCTAGGATGTGTCTGGAAAAGGCTGGTTTGGGGAGGGATCTGCAGGTTTGACCTGTGGTCCCAACACCAGAACATGCTCAGCCTGTGGATGGATGGAGCTGCGAACGAGGTTGGCCAGGGGCTAGGCTTTGTCTTGTGTGGGGTGGGATTTCACGGCAGCCCAGAACAGCGGTCAACCTTCCGTGTGACTGGAGGCTGCTCGGTGACTGGCGACAGCCAGTGTGCAGGTGCACCAGCCTCACGCTGCCCAGGTGGACGAGGCCGAGGGGCTGGGGTCCACGGGAGCATTGCCGAGGTGCCGACCAACAACCTTCCCACTGGGAGTTCTCAGGGGCAAGTTGTCTGCTTCCACGAGAGCCCGTGAAACTCCCTGCCTTGTCTAAAACAGGCCGAAGTTGAGATTCTCAAACCCCACATGACGTAAGGGAGTAGGATCTGAGCAGACCTGGGGTTGAGAGGCACTGTGGGGTGGCGTGGTGGCACACACCTGTTATCTGAGGCGGGAGGATCACTAGTTCAAGCCCAGCCTTGGCAGGTTAGTGAGACCCTCAGCAACTTAGCAAGACTCCAAAAGAAAAAATAAGAGGACTGGGGACACAGCTGAGCACTGAAGAGACCCTGATTCAGATCCAAAAGGA